CTGTGATTATCTGACTATTCTCCCTATGTGCTTGGATGATGAAGGTCCAGGTCTCAGCTGAAGCTGTGAGAGGGAGAAGGGAAAACAGAGGGAGAACTTTTAAGCTTAGGCAAGAGATGGGGCGCTCCAGATGCTGGCGTATTACCCTTCCTGTATCCTTGCTGAAATCGTCCTTAACTGAACTTGCTGTGGAAGGAGGTCGGCATCCTGCATGTAGTACAGGAGCCCCTCTGCATGCCCGGCATTAGGTGCTGTATATAAATCGTTGCAGCCTGCCATTCAATCCAATTTCTTAAGTGCTGTATCATCCTTTTACCTTTAGCAAAGTCAAATACTGTGGGTGAACAGGCAAACAGACTTCTGCAAGGCCAGCACCGCAGATTCATCTAACTTTGTGATAATATGTAACTTTGACATCTTCAGGAGTGCTAAGTTTTATTCATTGGTTCCTTTTGTAGAGCCCCGGTCGTGAAGCTGTCTGTGCTGTACTGGGAACAAGAGGGACAACTTGCTAAAAGCCGACGCGTTTTTGGTAAGTAGCGTACTGAGCTGCTCTTGTGGATACCAAGTAAAAAACTAAAAGCCTCCCTGGCTGGAGGAGGGTTATAAGGAGTCATATTTGAATGTAAAAGTTTGGAAAGTGAGGAGCCTGGCTCTGGCACAGCAGAAATTACTCGCTGTATTCCATTGGGCAAAGCTGCACTAAGCTCTTTTGAAAAGTATGACTGACTTATTTTTAATCCGGTGACTGCTGTAACAGAAAGTGTTATAGAAAGCGATCCCTTGTGTTATAGCATTGAACTTCAACGAGATTTTTTTCAAAGGTCTTATGGATGGAAACCATTTAAATGGTAGCAGGAACTTATTTGCCTGTGATAGCTAGAGGTGTTGCGTGACAGCAAAACTCTTGCTCTTATGCCTTCATCATATTCCAGAGAGGCAGGCGAAACCCTTATTTTTGGATAGCTCGCATTTATCCTTTTGTAATTATTTCTTATTGATGGTTTTAATACCTTAAAAAGTCCTGTTTATCTAAATAAAACTGCAGTTATGCTACTAAAGCTTTTTTTCCCCCCTGTATTTTACATTGTATAATAGTGAATTGCAGGCATCCGTTTACCATTGTTTTGTTTCCTTCAGTGATTAGAAATGAACTTACCTTGGCAGGAAACACTTAGCCAGGCTGGCAAAGAGACTGCTTAGCCCTCTCATGCAAGGTGAGTTCGGCTACGTGGTATGACTCCCTCAATATTTTCTCTCTTTCTATTACCACAGGGCACAGGTGTATTAAATAACATAATAGGTGAAATAACACCCGAACTCATCCTTGGGATCTTCCAATTTCAGGGATATGGAAGAGAATCAATTGTTTGCAGGACTCTTCTTAAAATAATACACAGTGTTTATAGTATGGAAGTTAAATGAGGTATTTAAAAGCATATTGACTATATGTCCACTGAAATTGAGCACAACTAGGAACCTGTGTTATTCAGATGAATTAAATCAACATTTCACTTACTGTAAAATGGGAATTTAAAGAGAGAAGATATGTTGAGGTTTGTGATAGGGCTGCTTTAACTCCTGGTTGACGGCGTAATGGAGCAGATTGCAGCTCCCTAACCTCTGCCTGCAGCTAAGCACAGCAGCTTGTCACGTGGGAAACTGCATCTGCAGAGGTTTTGGCCTGAGCCTCAAACTGTCTATGCAGTGGTTTCTGAGGCGCAACTGGCAACAGATGAGAGCTTGGACATTGAAAGAAACAGACTCCTATCAGGCAATTTTGCCTTGTGCAGTTTACTGAATGGAACATCGTGCTGAGAGTAAAATGAGCTGCTTTTGTTTCCCCCCCTCTGAGGGCGTGAGCATTGTGAGGAAAGCTAGAGATGTTAAAATCCCTGTCAGAACTTAACACTCTGGAGATGAGTTGGGTGGAGAGGATTTAAACAGCGCTTCACCATGCATGTGCAAGCAATGGTTGTCAGAAAAACAAGAAAGCAGTCAGAAGACTGAGGGCAGCTTCATTTGCGATCATTTATGCACCAACAATTATTAACTCAAGCAGAGCAGGCAAACTATAAAACTTACTGCAGCAACTTGGAAAGTACTGCGCTCTATAAATAAGGAAATGAGTGACACTCAAGAATTTAAACTAGGGTCGATAACCTTGCTTTTAAGCTCAACTAGTAATCAATTTGGAACAATTTAGTTGCCTTGCATGCCTCGCTGTCTAGAAGTGTTATAGTCCACCCCTTCCTCGGTGTAGGACAGGCAGACAAATACTTGATTTAGCCCAAGTGACAAGGCAGAGGTAAGAAGGTGGGGACAGAGGTAAATCCTGCAGAGGAAGATGCTGACCTATGCAATTTCTCCCTACCTGCCTTAGGAGGTGTTTGTCCTCCCTCTATTCACATTCCCTCCTTCTTTCTGCTAGACGCTAACTCATGTGCTGGCGTCCCCTAACAGTAGAGAGAAGGAAATCACCAGTTGTAGGACGAAGACATCTTAAAACAATGATAAAACACTGACTAAAGTTGGCTACCATTTAACAGGCCTTCCTTAAAATGCACAAAAAAGGGATAGCATCTAAAAGAATATGGCTCCAAACTTAGATAAAAAAATCCAAATCTGAACAGCCGTTAAATAAAGTGTCAGGGATGAAACTCTGACAAAATACATTGTTATATCAGCTGTGGTGTACAGCATGTGTATGGTTGGGCAATCTGAGGTTTAAATCTACAATATTTACAGTTCTGACTAAGCCTAGGGAGGACACGATATCTAATCTAAAACTTCTGATTGTCACCAGTAGTGTAGTGAGAAGGGATTAGACAGCGTACCTGTGTACCTCCCAGTGCAGGTTGTGTATTACCTTGCCTGGATAAAGACTGCAGCTTTCAGGTATCAGCAGTGCTGGGTCATAGATGCTAGTAGTGATTCTTTGCCATATTAGATACTTCGAGCTACATATTTGTCCAGAAGAGCAAGTGGGCATTGTTTTTATTAATGTTTTATTAATAGTAAATATTGAAATTAGACATGCAAAAGATATTACTGTTAGGAAGTGTTGAATTATTCAGATGTCTGGATTGCTTTCAGACATCTGCTTGACCTCTGGTCTGTAAGCATGTTCTGTAAGCGTTTTAAGTTTCATCAATGTATGCCGTTGATAGACATGGGTATAAAGCTCATGGTTTTTTTTTTATAAACGTCCATAGGGATAAATGTGGTTTCTTGTGCAGTGAAGGGACTCCTTCCTTTTACTCATTTAATAACAAGTTATTACAATAAAAATCTCACTGATAGCTTAGCTAGCAACCAGTGTTTATGTTAGAGGCTTGTTAACTGTACTGCCTACACCGGCACATGCTGCAGCATGTCATTACACACAAAAGAAACTTACCGAATTTTATAAAAGTGGTTTACAAACATTTCTCTAAAACGCTGAAATGTTCTGATACAAACCCGAAGGTATGAAAACGTGTACATAGTTCATGGCTTCAGAAGCCCTTTCGGCCTGACTTTCTGCCAGGAACACCAACAGCTGCTTCTGTGTGCTGGCACTTCAGTCCTACAAACTGTTTTCTAAACAGGTCATGATGTTTTTACGAACGAGCAGAAAGAGGAGAGAAGCTTGTCACTGTGAACCTGGTTCTCCTGAGTCAGCTGCGGGACCGGGGAAGTCCCATCCTACCTGTGAAGCACTATTTGCCTGCAAATGGGATTGATTTCCTCTGCAAATATTTGCCCTGTGATCAGGTTACTGGATTGGAGCCCCTGTTTTCCCCAGTATATAAAGCAAATAAATAAGGCTTAACATCTTTGCCATGATGATGTTTTCAAAGGCTATTTACAAAAAAAATCTTTAACTTTGGCTGACCTTAGTACAACGTCATCGGGTGAAGCTGTAGGGAACAGTTGGTTTCTGTGCAGCACAGTCTTTATTTTGGCTGGCAGTCTATTAACTCCGATAAGCGGTTAAGTTCATGCCAAGCAAAGTCAGGCATATCATGAGATTTTGCTTTGCCTGTATAGAGGAAGTAGCCTGAGAAACAGCTTTGCAGGCCAGTTAACAAAAAAACATAGACCAGAATTTGGGGCTGACCAATTCTGATTCTTGAGGAGTTTGACAAAAGGACCCTGTCAGGTGTTTCGTTCCTCACTCTCCCTTCTCTAGATCTAGAGTTGTCCCGCTTTAGTAAGACTGATGCTCTAGCTCTGTCAGACCCGCCTTGAACACAGCAGTCCGCTGCTGCTTTCCTTAACCTCTCAAGGGAAAAAACGAAAAGCAGCTCTCGCTTCTCATGAATACCTGCTCGTGGCTGCACGCTCAAGCCTCCTCGAGCAACAGCAGAATGACACTGAGAATTAGCATCACTCCTGCCCGAAGGGTGTACCACAGCCACGACACAAGGCTCTTGTTAGGTGGTGGTTGTGCAGTGCTTCTGTGGGGTGTTTGGGGGTTTTATTTTTATTTTCTTTATGGGCAGCAGCCAGTTAAACAGTATTTGTTTCCAGATTCAGGGAGATGGCACTGCATTGTCAGTTTGGAAGAAACAGTTTTGGTTGTTTTTTGTTTTTTTTTTTCCTAAGACCTTTACATTCCTAGATGGCTTACATCACGTACTGGGAATTGCATTCAAAGGCAGCTTGAATTCAGGTCAAGCTTTGCCTGCTTGTAGTAGAGGGACGTTACCGATAAAAACATTTTACGCACACCACCCAGAGATTTATTGAAGTTGCTTCCACAAGCGCCTGTAGTGAATTTAGCTTTCCTTTGAGCTCACTGAGAATGGCAAACTATTCATTACATTTATATGAAACACTGTTTTGACAGATTTCTTCAGAAGTGAAGCAGCACAAAAGGAGACGCTCTGTTCTTTCAAAATAACTGGAACCACTGGCAAGAAGCAGCAACACTGTGCATCAAACAAGGAAACCATTTCCAGGTTATCAAAACATGCTGTTGAACTGAATTTTGCAGCTGCGTTTTCAAATGTACCATGGGATGCATCAAATCCAAGAATGCCTTTCCAGGTTCAAATGCTATCCAGGATGAACGGATCGGGGAAGGTAATGAAGGATGCGCTGGGGAGAAGTCATCACTGATAGCGGTGAAGGTGGATGAGAAAGGTCCATCAAGCACTATAGTGCTAGACTATGCGCACCGTCTCTCCCGTGAGATTCTTGATCAGGCGGTGAAACAGTGGGCAGTGACTGAAAGCAAATATAGCGACATCCCTTATATTGAAAGCGATGTGCCCTGAGCCCTGACAGGCGAGGACTGTCTTCACAGTGGGTGTCCTGTCTGCTAAGCAGTTTGTGTTTGGTACGAGTGCAAATAAAGTTAAAACCAGCTGGGATTTGAGCATACTGCCATGACACGAGTGTGTTTGCAAGGAGAGGCTGACAAAATTTGCCTTTTGATCTATATTGCTAAGAAACAAATTGGATTACAGTAGAATCTATTCATCAAGTGTCATTTGTTATCAGCCGTATGTTGAGTGTATTCTGTCTTTGTATATGTTGAATGTGATCAGAAATCAGTGTTAAAAAAAGAGGATGAGAAGAATGTGGCTGCCCTGCAACTGTACAAGCACTGCCACGGAGGCTCCAGAGATGCTTAAAAACAAAGCGTGGATTATTTTTATGGACTGCATAAAAAATCAATGGCCTGTTTGTAGGTGAAAAGAGAAGAACTCTCTATGCTTGCTAAATTTGTCTGCATTTTGCTAAAGTGAAACCAAGGTCTACATGTAGCAAAGGTAACTGCTGTCCTAAATTTTACTTTGATTCTTTGACCTGACTAAATCTGTAAGCCACAAAATAATGAAGGTGATGAGAAGCATTTTATAAAACCAAGTAGTATTCAGGGAACCATATGGATTATGATACTACTCAACTTCCATTCTTAAATGAATGAGTGAGAAACATTACAATATTGATAAACAGGGCACTATAATTAACAGATGCTCCGGATTCTGTAAATGCGTGAAGGCTAGTCTCTAAAATCCTGCAGTAAGATAGTTTAATTACATCTGATCACTGTGTTCAGCCAAAGCTGTTCGGGTTTGGGGGTTTTGTTTGGGTTTGTTTTTTTTTCTTTAGTGTTCGGGTGCTGGCTTTTGGGGGTTGTTTTTTTACTGTAGCCCAGATAGGTGTGCAAAAACTACTGATGCTAACTAGTGACACGAACCTTCAAAGGTGTAACAATGTTTTAGGACTAAGTATTTCATGGGAACTATGGCTGCATTACACTAAAATTTCACTTTAAAGTTACACCCTTGGGACAGTACGCCTTCCTTAGGCTCTGTAGGCTCATCGCGTACCTGTTGGTAAAACTGCATAAGGCGATGCAAATATGAGCTACAGAAACCTAAAGCCTGAGCAGTGCACTCAATTAGTGAATAAGCCTTAGGCCCAAAGCTCAAGGGCTGCGTTCTTTACCCATTTTACCGAGCTTGCATCCACACACTGCCCCCTGCTTCTCCAGGAATTGCAGCCTGACCTACTGTGCTCATAACTAGCATTTGAGAGATCAAGAAAGGGATGAATTAATCATAGTCATCTTCAAGCTACAATTTTGCTGACGTGTTTATACAAAGTGAATGCCTTCTAGAAGCTTGGGGTTTTAGCACCTGTTTGTTCCTTTTTCTGTTAGGGCCGCTTCAAAAGACACAGGTTTTTTTCTTAAATCAAAGTGCTTTCCATTTTATGTTTTTGTTTTATAGAAAAATGCTTTCCATACTGGCAAAAACTGTTACTATTTTTAAAAGGTACACATAGTTCTAGTAACTGATACGAAGCATGATTTTTCAAGCCATGGTAAGCAAGCAGAAAGAGGACTGTGCAAATTGTTATTTTTAGCTTATTCTCAAACTTAAGATAGTCTATGAATTGAGCTGGTTTGCAAACTTTGTGACACAAACTTAGTTTTTTGTAATTCACCTCTATGGAGAAGTGGTTGTATGAAGAGTAAATGGTGAAAAATACTTCTTTGCAACACAGCACAAGACTGCCATTAATTCACACTGACCAGAGCCTGCTAGTAAGGCTGTTCTCAGGCTTTTGCTGAAAAAGGGAAAAAAATCTGCTTACGTTGTATTGTCATCATCCCTGAAGTAATGTAGTCTTCTTTGAAGCCATATGTAAAGCGGGACAGAGATACTGCCCATTTAAATTCTATGGCTAACAGTGATGTTCCTTGAAGCTCTAAAGCATGTAGAACATTAAATCATACCCCACCTTCACGCTATTTAAAAAAAACCTCCATGCCATATACTAGGGTGAATTAAAAAGCAAAACCAAAACACTGATCCGATCAGTACCTATTAATTGGACATTGCTTAACCACAGTATTAAAAAATATTCCTATTCATATTATAGCTAAAATAAAGCTTTATTACAAAAAAAAGGACAGCCTTTCTGTAACATTAGTCTTGGCTCGAGAATGTTAACACTCCCAAAGACAGTAATAAAAAAAAAGGGGGGGGGAGGGAGGGAAGACCCCAAACTCTATAGACATTATTTGCCAGAGGTGAATAGCAGATATAAAACTGCCCTCACTTCAAGAGTGAATTTAGGTGTATCTGTCTTGCCCCTTGTACCTTGGTGGCTGCCATGGGGTGCTGCAGTGCACACTGTTGCAATGTCTCAAATCCTTTCTTTGGATGTAGCCTTTGCATCTGGCACTCTTCTGGAGTCAGAGCATCAGATGCACTTTTGAAAGCAGCTTCTCCTTCGGCAGGCTGCCACTGCACGGTCCAACAGCAGGCAGAATTATAAAATAGCATAAAATAGCCTAAAGTTAAGTCATAGCATCTGTACTGATAAACTCAAAATTTCCCCAAGAGGTGGAAGTCACCTAGGTAAAATTAAACGTGCATCACACTGAGCTTCCTTTTGGAGTACTTGCAGTGTGGGCCGGCTGCGCTGCTTGCTCAGAGAGCCACCCCTAATGCGATAGCGACTGAATCGCCTGCTGCTTGTTATGTCCAAACAGTCACTTACCTGCAACCACAAAGCTTGTCTTCCCTCATTAATGCTTGAGGATTACAGCAGCTTCAATATGGCCTGAAGTGCAATTCCAGCTGGTTTATGATGCTTTCTATGCCGTTGGCACTTCAGGGAAAGCACGTGGCAAATGGGAAGTATGCAAACTTGCAAACAAGCTTACAAACAACAGGGAGAGAGCTTCGCAACAGGAAAATAATCTCTATTACAAGATGCTGTCCTTAATAAATAATGCACTTACCCTTAATCCAAAAAAAAAAAAAAAGAGGAACAAAAATCTGTTCAATACTACAATCTGGTGAGAGATTGAAGGAGATCACATTCTAGAGTTCTGCTGTATTTTTAGTAGGCAGAATACATAATAATGATTAAAAATAAAGACTAACCTAAATAAAATGACATCCGTTTATTTATCATTAGATTACTCTGTGCTACAGTCTTATAAAGCCACTTACAGTGGCTTTCCACCTAAGTTGCCACTGATTCTTTGACTTGATTTTGTGTGATAAAGGCACTCCACTGTGGAACTGGCATACTCTGCAAAACCATTTACTTCTATTTAGGAGTTAAAAATACATTTGCTTTATATTTTCTCCAGGAAACAAAAATATAGTCTGAGTGGGTACTATGTGACTGACTTGGTATTCTAATAATGGTTCAAAACACACTGACTGCAGCACAACTTTGTAAAAGTGACATTTCTGTAGTAAAACACATCAGTATACCCAAATAAAACGCACTACAATATATTTTTACAATATTTTTGTGGAAAATACTTTCTTGTGGACCAAATAAAATTAAACTTACCATCTGCTTCTAAGACTCTTATTTGATAAAAACGCACACATTGGACAGGGTCCTGTTACCATTAGTTCGGGGTAATTCCCATTCACATAAATTTTCAAAGCCATTGAACATGCAAGTCAAAGTTTATTGACTCAGAAGTATACTCTGGCTAAAATGTTTTAAGTCCTTTTCAGTCAGAGAAAGCGTGATCCCTACTCCCTGGGATTACTGTGTTTTTCATTAAATATAGTCACTGAAGATTGCTCCTTTTGTACAAAAAATAATGGAATGAACCAATTTAAAAAAAATAAATAAAAATAGCCATTGTTTAAGAATCTAAAACATACAAAAATTTTAAAACATGAGGGGGTAGGCTTACATTTCTTACAGATCCAGTGTGAGGTAGAAATTCAAGTAATTTTCAGAAGTTACCCTAGAGATATTAAATGAAATCTCTCAACTACTTTTGAAAATAAACTCAGGGACTGTCTCATAATAAATATGTACGTGGTAACATTAACTGGCAGCTTAAATTTTAACAATTTTATTTTAAATATTCTAGTGACAAAGCAAGGTGCCATTTTTTCTTGATTTTGCTCTCCATTTTGCTCACCTCTAATTCTTTGAAAGTCACTCTAGTAGTTCACCTTGATGCCTGAATTTCTCGGACTTTGTTTCCAGGCAACAGCTTCTAGGAAGGAAGGAGCCTTAAGCCAGCGCAGAGCATTCCTGTCGGTATGAAAAGCTGCCCAATGCTGAAAATTCCATAATGGTTCTGCTGTAGCTCTGACTTTTTGATTCCCCAGTGCTGATTACTGACTATGTCACTCAAAGAAAAGTTTTCTTCCTTTAGTCTCAGTGCTTCGTCTTCAGAGAAGCCAAAATTTGAATTTGTGACCTGGCTGTAAATGTAGGAACAAGTAGGAAGAGATCCTGATATATGATTTGATTAACCATAAAAAAGCATGCATTCTTAATGTTGAAGAAAAATTAGCAGCTGTGTTGCATACACAATAGAAAAATTAATTTTATCCCCCCAAAAGATTATACTTTATTAAGGGGCTCTGGTTATGTTGTATAACTTCAAATATTACCAGTATCAGAACCCAGCAACCTTTAATGGACATATGACAAGGGGTTTTTGATGTATATTTAGATTTTGATACCCAAAACCCCATTTTTTAGGATAGGTTGTGTTAAAAAACTACATTACAGCAGCAGATATTTCATGTTTTTCCCTATTCATTACCTTCAGTACATATTCCTGTATTTCCCCTACTTTTCACAAATTTTCCATCCAGCAGACAGGGCTTTCACGGGCACAAGCCAACGGGAGCCCAGACCAGTTGGCATAGATAAAACTCCAGGCACGTGCAGTATTAGGGCCAGGCTGACCTCTACCACTAAAATCATTAGACAATCACGAGTGTCAACAGGAAATGTGCTGCCTAGTGCTCAGAGGAAGGTATGAGACAGTTATTTCTTCACCCCTGTAAGACCAGGAAAAACTAGCAATTTTTGAAATAATGAAAAAATTAATGATACAGTTCAGTCAAACTTAATGGCATTTTAAAAAATTGGGTTTACAAGCAAACAGCAGTGTGTGCTCTAGGCTCCGGCAATATTCTGACATTTGAAATAATGTCTACATCACATAGCAAGACTGAGTACTGACCAACTGTTAAATCAATAGAACAATTTCTTGCTCTCAGACTAATAATGTGTCAGTCTGACCTTTTATTTAGAGGACTACTTAACACCATGGATTTTAGCATGTCGTGCATTTTCCTTTGTAGCTCTGACTGTTTTAAAGCTTTAAGTATATTTTATTTTTGTTGTTTAAAGAAGAATCTGAGGCACAATCCCAATTTAACAGATCAGTGACAGAGCCAAGAACACAAAGGTCTCCTGACTTCTTGCTTATTAGGTCACCCCGTAACTATGCTGTCTCCCCCAGAGGTTCCTCCTAAACTAAGAGTTGATGCAAAAAATTAAATGTTAATCATTGTGTAAAGCAGTAAAAATAATGATTTGCCTTGAAGTAATTTTTCCCCTTATTAACCAGAGATACAATTATTGTGTCATTACAGCGGCGTAACAAAAGAGAATTTTCCTCATTGCAAAAAAAAAAAAAAAAAGACTTAAACTCTCAGGCTAGCTAAAAGAGTCTTGTCAAACTTTATCATAGTACTATTAATTTTTATATCATAGAATTAAGCAGATGTATAAGATGTCAATAGGCTTGATCTTTACAACTTGAGATCGTTGTTTCCCAATGGCTTAAAACAATCGTCCACAAATTCATCGCTGACTTCTTCTAAAGCAGCTGGCATCCATCTGGGGGACTGGTCTTTGTCAATCAGCACTGTCAGGCGGAGAATAAAAACACAAAAGTTATTTGTAAACTTTCTCTAATTAAGATGACTTCAGGTTGCATCAAGACAGTCAAATACAGTTACTACATGGGGGAGAAAAATCAATACGCTCTGGGGAAGACACAGTTGTTGTAACATAGATACTTCTATTGTAACAAAAATTCCTGAGTTGTCACCTGTCTAGAGACATATCTGGGAGCTGCCTGATGACAGAAGGAACAGTGGGTCACATCAGAAGTAGCTCAAGCTTTGAAGGAATAGACTTGAAACTAATTTCAAGTTAGAACTTTCTGCATTCTGTTAGACCTACTGCTCTTGTCTGTCTTCTGCTTTTTCATGTGAAACTGGGAACAGTATGCATGACGATGCTTTTGGACAAGGGCTTTCATATCTCTGCAAAATCTGACTCTCTGTAGTGTATAGGAAATGACTCAAAGTGTTAAATGCCCAAAGCTAATTTAAGCACATCATATAAACTAATAATGAAATAACTAACACAGAAAGAGTAAAGCAGAAGCAGAGTATCTTTGTGGGAAAATCAAGAACATTTATTTGTAAATACTGACAGATACTGCAGACCTATGTAGATCTAACTGTGAAGATTTGTATAATCTTAGTATGTATACTTTATGCTGCAGCCTAGGAAATACACATCACTGAAGATAAAATCATCAGTGAATGAATAGCATGTAAAAGTGTAACAAGAAAATACCAATTCTCAAAAAGCATTCCTTGTATCACAGGAATGTTGAAGGCATGTCAGCAAGAACAGCAGCACTAGCAAACAATAATAAGACAAGAGATAGCTTATTTGTGTGTAAAAATGAACAATATGAATGGAATTCCAGACCGTCCTTCTGAGTACCTTTCTTGCTCCAAGAAGATCCATAAAGGTGCTATTCAAACTGTGAATTTTTTATAATTTAAAAAAGAACAGCTATAGTAACTGAGGCTTTCTAGGATGCACTGACTACCCAACATCCCTCCTCAACACACATTCCCTTCAGGTGTGTGATATCCGCATCTGATTTGGAGATGCACCTGTGTCCTGGGAGACTTCCTGACCAACACAGCCCACAGCATACAAGGGAGGAGGCACCTCTCAAGTTCCTCTGCTGAGAACCGAGTTTGTTTGTTCATTCCTTCCTTTCTTCCTTCTTTCTTTCTGACAAAGACTTCAGAGTAGGATGGTTCTAAAGGCACGAGGACAGAAGACGCTCACAGAGACTAGATATTTTCAAGAATAACAACTGGGTTTTTTTGGTAAGTTGTTGTGTCTTTCTAAACAGAGTTCATTCTTGGTGACTAAACTAGAACCATCCAGGATGAGAAAAGTGCAAAAGAGTTGAATTTTAAGTTCAGTAGAAAGAATGCCCAACTAAAGATTGTGTCTTATTAAAAGATAGGCATTATGGCAGTCTGTGGTAAAAAATGTGACTTGGAATCTTCTTTTTAACTTTTCCCTCTATAACCAACACTTGGAAAATGCCTAGAAAATAAATACCATTCAAATGCAACTGCGTTAATTAATATTTCTGTAGCTGAAGATATACAGGCATTAAAATTCTTTATTTGCATCTCCAAAGAGAAAGGAGAATCAGAGCCTTGCATCCATTTATCTGTAAATACAGGGATAACGACTGCCTGGATACAAATAAACATTAGTTTTTAAAAGAAATCCATTATATAGCTAGAAGCTGCAATTCCACAGAGAGTAGAATCCATGTAGGCAATTCTTCAAAAGAAATGTACTATAAAAGAGTGATTTTTACTAGGTTGTTCAACTGGGTAACTTATTGAAAAGTTATGATCCTACAAGGTAATTTTAAACGTTGTGATGCAAAGCCATTGATTGGTTTGGGTCAAAATACATAATTGTCCTAAATCAACTATATTTATTCCATCAGAGTAGTACATGTCTAATGATTTTCTTCAGCTTTAGTTGAAGTCCACAATCTGGCCAAAATAATCTTAACTGTTATCCACAAAAGGCAACACTAAGCAAAGGTGCTTTGAATTGAGGGGGGGGAGGGGGGAGGTCCATGTGTATACTACTACAGCTTCAAGTCTGCAACACAATAGTAATTGCTGATAATTCTCCACTCTATGGCACTACTGTGTGATAAAGTTAATCCTTCTGTTTGGATCCGTTGCCTGTTTTACTCTGGTAGATAAACTGAATGATCATAATGGTCTCTCCAGTGAAATCTTTAATCTTGTATAAGTTAAAATACTTGTTTTCTATTAGTATAGTGAGAATATTCCCTTTCTGCATTAACTTCTGTATATGTTGTGTTTCTCTAGCTTGAGATATCAATCACTACAACAATGGAACAAAAATTCTGAAGACTTCTAAGGTAGGCTAAAGGAAGTTCATTAAGATAAACGTAACTGAACATAGAAATTGTGTTAAGGGTATGTTCTTGTGGTTTTTTACCTTTTTAAAAATAAAAAAAAATCCAAAACCTCTCTGTTCAGTAGCAGTGACTTTACCAGACTTCAATTAGTGTTCTATTGCTTAGCTTCATTCAGAACTAATTCAAAACTAATATTTCTAAGCACCTGAAATTCTTAGTTGCAATGAAATCTTTCTACCTACTCACTGACTGCAGGGGGTTTGTGTGCCCAGGGTAAGGCTCACAGCTGCCAGCACTGCGGGAGAGAGGGCAGAAGCTATACAGAAATAAGATCTTTGCAGGATCAGCAATACGTGGAAGGCCTTTAAAATTCCAGTTGAAGTGTACACTCCTGCACAAATAGTTAGGAGGCCAATTTAACAGATTTTTGTCCTCTCTGGCTGCTGAGATTGTAGTTTACCTGGATATGTTTGAGCACAGACTCCAAAAATGGCTGCTTTTCTTATGCAGTAAGAATTAAAACCCAAATGCTTGGAAATTACCCAAAGCTATGCATTTCTTAGTTTATGTATTATTCTAAAAATCAAGGTGACTTTGCATACCTAAAGTGTTCAAAGACCACATTCACCATAATATGGAAAAATGTTGGTGAAATGTGATGTGATCTGTGTATTTTATGCTTTAAAGGTTTTGGCTTTTCTTTAGTAGCTCCAGTCACAAGAATCATAAATGGGGAAGACTGTTTGCCAGTAGATCTTCAGTCTGGCTGAAAGAAAACTGGCTAAAAGAAAAATGAAATTTTGACCTCGGGTCAAAGCAGGTTTAAAAAGCTTTTAAACAAACTACTTCCCTAGCATGCCTATTAAAATTATGGTTTGAAGCAGATAAAAGCTGTTATTAAAACCTGACCAATGGCCATTGCTGCTGAAAAACAATCTTCAAAAACTAAAATCTGATTATTATATCTTAGCTTTCCTTTGTGGTAGATCCTCTTGTGGTAGACAGGGTCAACAGCTGGCTCTTAAATGCTTAGAATGTAATGTTTTAATAAAGAAAAAGCTAATACTTAAACTAACATTTTTATAATTTTCATTTGTATTCTCTATGGTCAATCCCATAAAGTACTTAATAATCTTGCTTCCTATTAAAAAGGATGCTCAGCACATTGTTGAATAATGATTTTTATGAGATTAGACCCAATGACCAGGATGATTTTGAGTCAGATTCTGCACCACTCTTATACAATAGAAACAATTTTAAGAAAACAAATCGCAGAACAAGAGCAAAAGTGCTTCAAGAACAAATTGTTATTCTTAGCAATCCCCTCAGTGCAGCTGGATCTCTGGCATGGGGTGGGTTGTTTGGTTTTTTTCTTCCCCTGATATTGTTAAGCCTTTGCTACATCATCCTATGTAAAATAGAAGCTTCCCAACTGCTATTCCTGCAGCTTCTTTCTTTACAAACAGTTTGTATAATTTACTGGCCATACTGACAAGTGATTTGCTTTTGTGCTCTGCTGCATCCCCAGATGGTTTAATGACCTTGTGCATTATGAGTGAGAATTTGGTTTGGTGTTCATCTGACTCTCAGACTTTGAGTTTGTCCCTTCTTGAATAACCACATTTCAGCAGTTTATATGGTGATTTAGAATATATCCTAGGAATATTCTTTTTAAGATATCTTTGTCCCCATTACACAATGAAAAACATGTACTTCTCAACGTGTGTGGTAAACTTGTCAAAGGAGTGCTAAAGATTAATTAATTAAAATCAGAAACTTTTTCCATTCTGTATAAAAAAAAAAAAACTTTGCATCTCTCAGCCCAGGCTATCTTTGATACAATATTACTAATAGTGAACACTCAAACAAATATCCACTACTCAAGTGGATTTTAAACTACTTTATAAAGACAGATCTAAAAAATGAGGAGGAGGTGATAATACACATTCAAGTATGTAAATGTGTGAATTACAAGCCAGGTTCCCTCAACCCCAAAGTGTTATTCATCCAAATGTTTTGTACCGTAAGTTCCTTGGAAAAGGAAATGCCTCTGCTTTGTTTCATCTTGTGCTGAATAGTACATAAATAATTACTACAGTTTCTAACAGATGTGACATTGGGTTTGACAAACTGCATAGTGAATCAGCAGTAGAATCAAGGACAGAATCTAAGCCTGTCCCCTAGATGAACTTGCTGAGCTGTTTCTCTACTTTTACCTCTACATATTTTGACCAATGCCTTAATATTGAGTAAATCAACATTTTAAGTTTACATATATAGTTTTTTAATAGCAAGACAGCTCTATACAGAGATATTTTAGACATGGGTGAAAGTAGTCTCTGTTCTAACAATTTTCTATGCAAATAGTTGTTCTTGACTTTGAGTCTTCAATGATCTTATAGCTGACTGAACCAGCTATGTGGCAACACAAAGTCTGGACACAAACGATACACATAGCTACTCACTACTATCAGCATTAAATTTATTTTTAACTTTCCCAATGAACTGGTGAAACCTTTTCATGGTGCTGCATTACCAGGTGGATAAGTAACACTAGGAAACTGAGATTAAACAAAGGAAACAACATGGCTGTTAGACTTTGGAACAAATTATAAGTTTTGGCCATAAAAGAGTCCAATAAGCAAAAACTGTAGCAAGCTGGGGAGTGTTTGTTGCTGCATGTACTTTTCTTAACCTCCAGAGAAGCAATGCAACAGTGAGTTTGCATGTTATTAAGTCTGAGAAACACTTCTGGTGTGCATGCTTACCTGCTCGAACCCCTTCATAGAAGTCATGGCCTCTCTGAAAGACAAAAAAACAAGTTGTAACATGACAGATTCTATTTATCCTATATTTCCCTATCCCACATCTTCTTGAAATGCAAGTTCTCAAGATTCGGTGAAATCCCACTTGCACTGTTCTTCTCTAGTCCTACTTTTTCTTTACTTATTAAAGAGCTCTAAATCCTCTTGCTTAAACATAGCCACAACTCTTAAAATCAGCCTGTTGAACTGTAGTTGATCAGCCAACTTTTGCACAGTACAAGCCCTCTCTCTGTGTTACATCTCATAGATTTTTCTAAAGAGTTTTGCATGATGTGTGCTAAGGTGTGTAGGCTCTGAAATTCTTCAGAGAAAGGCCAGTCTTCAGGAATTATGATGTATTCTGCATACTTGAAACACTCTGCTGTTAAATGGAGTCCTGGAAACTTCCAGGTTGTTGTTGTTTGTTTTTTTTTTTTTTAATAAAGGTAAACATAACCTTTAATTAACTAAGGATGCTTTACTAGCAATGGAGCAACAATACTAGTTTCAGGAAAGAAACTGTCAGGCACTACAACGTATCAGCATTAGATATGTTTTCACTCACTTTTTTTTTTTTTAAAAGCATTTACTTTAACTATCACAAATCATTTAATCAGATACATAAAAATCATATTTTAAAATGTGACAAAACTAATGGTAAGGATGCTACGGAGAAGTTTTATGAGTACTTCATTCAGATAATTCAGTTAGCAACTCTGTTCTATCGAAAGGATCACTTCCTTCTATGTTCTCCAAGTACTCAGCCCTTACTACAAATTGTACTAAAATCTCTTGTTTTCTTTAATAAATTTATCACAGTACTCCTGAAAGGTGGTGATATGCAACTACTCCCATCCTGCTGATGGGAACTGAGGCACTGAGAGCTAAGTAATTTAAATGGGAAATCTGTTCAAGAACAACAGTTTTAAAATTATGGTCCAAATACAAAACTTTCTATGTTGTAACATTATCATGGTTTTCTTAATAAAAGCCCCGCATCATTCTCATCTGACCATCATGAATGTAGTCTCCTTACAGTTGCATATAAATACGTGGAACTGGAAAAAAGAAAGTGACAGCTTAACAAACACAAAGAAAATACTGAGGAAAAAAAACCCAACACCTATAAATTTTGAGCCCTTGATGTGATCTATATAAAACTTAAGTCTCTGACAGACTTGCCACCCCTCCATGGCTGGAAAGAGACAAAGGGCTCAGCTGCTTGCTTACCATGCATGCTTGGCTCAGTCTGTATTCCATTGTGAGTACGTCTTGTAAGCTCATGGAAGCGCCTTCTCTGAGCTGTCTGAGAGTCATCTTTAAGGATGTAGGTGACATCTTATTAATAGTCTGGGGAAGACATTAACAACTGTTTTTATTCTCTTCAATTTAGACACCTTTGTAAGTCTGTCTTTTTTGCATTTTAAACTTTGCTAAGTAAATGATGGCACTCTTCTCCCTGAGCTCCCTTAAGTGATACCTATTCCTTCTGCTCCCTCCCACCATGCTGTCATACTAAAGGAACTTACTTGCATAAACTCTTATCAGCAAGATCTCTAGGAAGTATGCCATCACTTGTGGAAAGCCTAGAATTCCTAAGGTCATGTCATTTATTATTAAATTACTACTAGCTAGAGAATCTACTGCAGCTTGAAAGCCATTTCCAAACAGATTCTTTGGAGAAGTGAAGGCGAGCGTTACAAGCAATTATACTCCATTTTTTTTTAAATACAAATATGTAGTCTGAATTGCTCTCAGATGTTACTGATATCATAGCTGATGCTACTCTTGTACCGCATTGACCATCGTACTAAATAAAGTGTAAGAGCAGTAAAGTAATAATAGTGAGATTAGCCAAACTTTAAATAGTTGCTTTATGATCATCTGCAAAAACTAGACTATATACTAAGAAGAAAATTAGCTAGACAATATACTAAGAAAAAAATTGTGGAAAAAAATATTAAAAGAAATCAAACATAAATGAATATTTGTCCAGGCTTCTTGTCCGGGATCAACAGATACTGCAGTAATTTAGCCCTACGTTGCTCTGCTGATGGGAAGCCTGGAGGTCTTGCCTTCCTTCTTTTGACAGAGCTACAGGCTATAAATATTATACAACAAACAGGATCTGGTTTAGGCACACAAACAAATGCTGTAAATCTGGCTCTCACGATTATCCTTCAATTAACAGCATGCCAGTAAACAGCAGGGGGAGGTGGGGAGAAAGACAAAAACCTAGTTAAGAAAACAGAACTGAGATTTAAAGCTTTCAGGGTTGCAGGGGAAAGGAGCTAAATCTTATTGTTGCTGATCTTTGTTTCCTTACTCTAAACAAGACTCTTCTTCCTCTGTAAACCCAACTAAAAGCTCTGTATTATTCACAGTACGATAGACGTTTCCTGTTAATTAGGACATTTTTACCACTATTGAAAAGCAGCAGATGGTAAGATTTGCCTCTTTACATTATTTTCATTGCAGACATTAGACTCCTTACCCACAGACTGAAATGGCAGGTTTCCAGTCATCAACATTAACATTTTTTTCTGGCTCCCAATTACTCTTCATCCCTCTCCAGACACTAGCTGATACAGCAGTGACCCATTTTGCCTAGTTAAGCTGGAAAACATACAATTGCTATACAACAGGAGGCTGTGCAATTGTACCTTAAAAGCACTGATTCTGTCATTCTATTATGTGCGTGTTGACCACTCACTTGAGAGAGAAGCTGGTTTAGAAAGAATTAATGCTGGCTCAAACTGTCAACATTTCCTAAGTTCTGGTAAAGCCCTCTAACAATGAGCTACCTTTCAGCAGACAAATAAACCGGCTATACCTCTAATTATATCACTATGTAGGTCTTGGATGGATAGCAATTCTTAACCAGACCCCTTATTTCCTGTAATGTGCTCTTGCTGGCTTTACCTTTGAACCGGACCTTTTCTCCTTTGAGTTTCACATTCTGTCATCTAGATTAGAAAGTCTTTGCTCAGACCAGGTTAAATGGTATGCACAGTGCAACCAGATGGTTCCCTAGGTGAAATGGTAATGGCAAGTTCTTTCTGGTCAAAGAAAGCACTGAAATAGGGAAGATGTGAAAACAGCACGTAACTAGTTTAGTGCATCCAGCAGCTGCCTTATCTTGGCATATCAATGAGGTTGAAGGTGGAGGAGGCACTGCCATAAATGAAGCTGAAGGAAGAGGAACAAGGAAAGAAAATGGGTAGGTGTAATTGCAGAAAAATGAGTCACCAGTGTATCTATAAATAAATTTTCGGTACAAAAAGGAGGAGGGGATCAGTGCTAAGGAACAAGCCTGAAAAGGAGACAGGATAGGCTGAAGTGGGGAGTACTAAAATACAAAGAAGTCTTCATAGAAGTAGTTGACATATATTTCAGTATCTTTGAGACCATCCTGATTTCAACATAATGATCCTGAAAGCTACAAGCTGAATTTGCAAGAGATCCGAATTCTAATAAGATACTGTCAGAAGGTGACAGAATTAAGTGGCACTGACTCAGTGGAATCCCTTACAAGACTAACAGCTGGAACACTGGCTGCCTCTTTTGTTTCCAAGGCCCATTAAAGTTTCTGACCTGAGCTGCTTAGGGTCCTTGAGGGAGGCTTTCTTCAAGTTAAAACAAGCAAAAAATACACTGGACCTCTGGAAGGTTTGTTTATCACTTCCCTTGCAATAGATGAAGACACGCACTGCTTACTTTCTGAGATACCAAAGTATTTGTCTGCAGCAAAGAATGGCTCTTGATGATCTCTAACAAAATACAAGCACCTAGCCAAAGCATCACTGGAAAGCTGCTTAAGGACAGATATATCACTCTCTTACTGGTCTGTTAAGAGAGTTTCATAACACATCCCAGCCTGACCAGTAGATCTGGACAAGGTGTCTTGTAATTCTTAGCCTCTGCAGTGTCCTTCACAATATACTGGAATTCATTCAGTAACAATGAAGACTATTAAATCATGGAGTGCCAGTGCTCAGAAGGTGCAATGTCCTGCCAGAAAAAGCTGTAAGAAAGCATCATGTGAAAGCCAAGTTGAACATCGGATGCTTTTCAGGTTTTGACCCCACGTGTTTACTTCATCCAATTAGAAGTGGTATTTCTGTCACTCAGATAAAAGCTTTTTGTCTCATGTAAGTTCTGAAAGCAAAGTAATGCTATAAAGTAAAAGGTTTTAAAAAATATTTTACTATGAGTTCAGAAAGTGTGTTAGTACTCTTGCTTTCTACCTATTTGTAACTGGATTCAAAATGTGATTGAAATCATGAAGCCATTCTCAATAGAATTTTAACACTTTTACATTCTTATTCACACAAACCAATTTAGTATCAGATACATGAAAGCCTGCCACGCAGGCATATTTTGAAAGTAAACAGCAGAAGTACTGTAGATTGAACAGAACAGGATACCTAGTACAGCATGGCTCACAGCATGCTTGGATTGTAACAGAAGTAGTATTTCCATTTCATTAACACTAAAAGGTATCCACATCCAAGGTGTGGATGTAGCAAGGTGTACCTCCAAATTAGGGTATTTGTATTAGACTTTCAGTTAGAGCTTATTCCATAAGCTTACTAATACATATCATAATAAATACACAGAGGAAACAAAGAAAATAAGCATACACATTGCTGTTACTGAATCCTTTACAGTTTCTGTATTTATCATTTGAATGTGCTGTTGTTCCTGCACCTGGACACTAAAGTGAAACTTTAGTTTCCTGTCACTTTGTGAAACCATCATCTAGGGACAAACTCTTTGTAGTGTGACACTACTGATCAGGAAAGTGACTTGCTGAACACAAGTCAGGAAACTACCATCAAGAATAATGTCTGATAATCTGAGACTGTCATGGTTTTGCTACATGTTCCTGCTTTAACCAGTTCTTTGAACTCTTCTCGTCCAAGCAATGTGACAGCGGGCCAATGCTCTGTCTGTAGGTGGTGTAAATTGCTCCACTGCCTGGATGCAAGCTACCATTCTTCCTCCAGCTGCAATTAAGTTTAATTACAATTCTGCTTCCCTAGTAAAAAAAAACCCTTCAGTTTAACTGGCAAGCATTTCCTGGAGGAAGCCAGATTTATACCTAAATCCTTTTTAACTTATTTTCCCCCACAAATGCATTTTCCTTCAGTTTTATGGATCTTTCACAGAAGAAATTAAGTATCTGATGCTACAAGCTTCCTTAATCCTACTCTTTAACACAGAATGTGTTCTGTTAGAAACTTGTCTGAAACTTCTGTACTTGTTCACACTAATAAGCCTTGCACCTGCTAGAAAATGCTGGTGGGGAGGGTGTTTTCCCGCAAATTTCTGTACAGACAGAAGCAACTCATCAGAAGCAACACGGCCTCATCTCTTGAACAGAACAGACAATTTTTCAGGAACTTCTGTCAACTCTGAGGACAGTCATTCACTTACTAATCATATGAAAGAACAAAGCTGCTATAAAGTCCTTTTAAAGATATGAAATAAGAAAACTGAAGAACCAACAAAAGATCCTTTTTTTGTTCAGGTATTTAAAAAAAAAATCATTTACACAAAATCATAACTTTGAAGTAGATGACATAGTTTAAATTCTAAATTAAAAATATGAAACAAATTTACACACACACCCCCAAACAACAAGGAACAAGAAGATTTTTTTTAAATAGGGGAGATCTGAGTTATGAGGCTGCAGATGAGGGAAGCAAGTCAAGCAGGTTTGGGTAACTAGAGCAAATGTGGCAGAACAAACTATCTAGTCAATACAGTTCAGTAACAAAGTGTTTCCAGACTCCCTGCACCTTCTGTAGTAAAATTGTATTTTGAAAAAAGCACCCTTTAAAGGCTATATGCTATTTTTAAGAGTTCCACTAGGTCTGATTATGTTTTAAAGTGCCATAAAATTGTATGAAATTTACTTAGGAAAAGCTGTATGTAAATAATCTTTGTTTTCAACCTCCACTGAAACTGATAAATATAACATCACTGCAGAATTATATTAAACTTTCTACAAGTACTGCCTTGTAACTCAATACTATAAAGAAATACAAGCCAGCAAAAATGACTGTTACTAACATGCTATCAAACTGTCTCAACAGACCTT